CAGGATATTAGAGTGACCAGGTGCCTGAGGTAATATATTTTGTGGCCATTCACAATTTCATATTAATAAATTAAGATAAAACTTAGGTTTCTTCTACGCCAGAAGCACAGGGTACTATCACTTGAGTTAAAGGAGAATCTCCCTAACTGTAATAATATTTGGGTTAATGACACATACCTGGGATTGGCATTCATTCTATCCAGCTATGAGCAGTGATACACATACACACTAGCTAATATATTACAGTTTACCTCAGGAAGGATCCAAGTCTAGTTTCATTAATATCTTCAGTAGGAAACTTCATGTAGTCAGCATCCTAGAGGAAAGGTTATCTCAGGATCCAAGTCCAGTTTGATTAGTATCTTTAGCCAGAATCGCATGTAGTCTTCGTTCTGCAGGAATATGGCTACAGATACTAAGGCCTGGTCTAGACTTCATAGAATCATAGGACTGCACGGGACCTCGAGAGTCCCCTGCACTCATGGCAGGACAAAGTATTATCTAGACCAGGGATCGGCAACCTTTGGCATGCGGCCCATCAGGGAAATCCGCTGGCGGGCCGGGACAGTTTGTTTACCTGCAGCGTCTGCAGGTTCGGCTGATCGCAGCTCCCACTTGCCGTGGTTCGCCATTCCAGGCCAATGGGGGCTGCGGGAAGCGGTGTGGCCCGAGGGATGTGCTGGCCGCCGCTTCCCACAGCCCCCATTGGCCTGGAACAGCGAACCGTGGCCAGTGGGAGCTGCGATCGGCTGAACCTGCGGATGCTGCACATAAACAAACCAGCCCGGCCTGCCAACGGATTTCCCTGACGGGCCGCATGTCAAAGGTTGCCAATTCCTGATCTAGACCATCTAGACTTAAAATTTTGGTCAACATAGCTACATTGCTCAAGGGCATGAAAATTCCACCCTTCACTGATGTAGCTATGCCAGAGTAGACACAACAAGGAAGAATGCTTCTGTCAACCAAGATACCATTGCTCGGGGAGGCGGTATTCCCACACCGACAGATTTTTTTTTCCATTGGTGTAGGTTGTGTCTACACTATGGGGTTACACCAACATAGCTCTGGAGCTGTAGCTATTTTGGTATAGTCTCCATAGTGTAGACATGGTCTAAGTAAATAATGCTTACTCTTCTTTAAGCTCAATTACACTTCTAACATTTCCTCTTTAAAAGCCCTATCTAGCTAGAGGTGGACAGATCTGGGCTAGGAGGAGGCACAGGAAACCTTGAAACTTGGATCAATGGGAGGCCAAGTTGCTACAGTCACAGGGAAGGATTCCAGGTTCAGGACAGGGTAGGCATTGCTAGACACCTGCTTGTCTTGTCCTATACCTGTATGGTGCTGCTGAGAGGATGCTCAAGAGGAGGAGCTTATTTTTTAAAGGACACCACCTCACAATGTTCATTCATGCTACAGAATTATGATTTGTATCACAGTGAATGACAATAAAATTCTTCTCAATAGCTCTTTAATGGGCGTGAGTTATGGAACATTAGGCACCAAATACTAGCAATCCCTTAAAACACAGAATGGATAGCCATCCAAAGGAAGAGAGGGGGATTGGGACAAGGGTTGGGGGATGAAGAAGTGAATATAGAGAAAGCATTTGAATACATAAATGAGAGAATGTAGGAACATGGAGCATCCGTAGGTGGGACAGTAGGTTATGTGAAAGAGGTGGAGGCAATGGGTGGTTGAGGGAGGGAGTTGGTGAGCTTTGGCTGGGAGGAAGTGTCAAGCTATGGCTACACTAGCACTTTTGTCGGTATAATTTATGTCGCTCAGGAGTGTGACAAAAACACACCTCTGAGTGATATAAGTTACACCGACAGAAGCACCAATGTGGACAGTGCTATGTCAGCGGAAGGTGCTCTCCCACCAACATAGATACTGCCACTCTTTGGGGGTGGTTTAATTATGTCAATATGAGTGCTTTCTCCCCTCAGCATAGAGCAGCTACACAGGATATCTTTCAGTGGCACAGCTGCATTGGTACAGTTGTGCTGCTGTAAGCTCTCTAGTGTAGACACAGCCTCAAAACTGTTTGCGGCTCTTGGCCCTGGCTAGCCTTACTGTGCCCCTGCTCTTTAGGAGCTTTAGGCCTTCCTGACCTCTTGCAGGAGTGGAACTATTAAGAACAAAAATCAGACAAAAATTGTGGAACTCACCAGACAGATGCTTACTCCTGTGTTCAGTTAACTCATCCCTTCCTCTCTCTTTCTGTTTAGTGTGCAAACTCTTCAGACAAGGACCTTCTCTTCATATCTGTCCACAAGGTGCCTAGCACAAGTATGTGGTGGCTTATAAAAATGTTAAATAATCATCTTCATCCCCTAGAGGCCATCCTATAACCCTCTTCTCTTCTACCTAATCCGCACACATAACTGAGCTATAGAGATTATCTTCTTAAAGAAGTCACACACCTCGCACAATGGCCTGTGTTTAGGAGGAATGTTTAAAAAATCATTTGGAGAATTTAAACTATATTTTTGGGTGTTTCAACACTTTAATAGCTTCCAGTGACATAATTAGGCATTTAAACATAAAAAGAGATTAAGATCTTGCACGGAACACACAAACTTTGGAAAGAGAATACAAATGAACTATATTATGAGGAAAAATTTATGCTGTACTCATGATAGTGTTTTATGATAATGTTATGTGTAGTATTGTTTTCAATGAAAAATGTGACTTTTACTTAACCTCAGTTTGCCAAATAGTTACTTATTTCTGTCTTAAATTATTTGCTTTGCCAATACAGACATAAATGTCTAAATGAAACAGTCCTCTGTTATAGTTAATCCTCCTACGTTTTTTGTGTTGTCACATTTTTTTGGTTGGTGCAGGGTTCTATGCATTCAAATCTTAGATCTGGTTTCTCTCCCTGGATCCTTGACAGGGCCGGCTCCAGGCACCAGCGAAGGAAGCAGGTGCCTGGGGCGGCCCATGGAAAGGGGCGGCACATCCGGGTCTTCGGCGGCAATTCAGCAGCGGGTCCCTCAGTCTCTCTCGGAGCAAAGGACCCGCCGCCAAATTGCCGTCGAAGAATGAAACGGCGCGGTAAAGCTGCCACTGAAGTGCCGCCAATCGTGGCTTTATCCTTTTCTCTTTTTTTTTCGCTTCGATGCTTGGGGCGGCAAAAAAGCTGGAGCCGGCCCTGATCCTTGACTAGGGGATTTGACAAAGAGACACTTCTCATAAGCACTGAGGTGTCAAAACATCTTAGAAATATCTAGAATAGCTAAAACAGATTGAGCTACATAAGCAATGATCGTGCACAGGAGCTAACTTGGAACCTAATGAATGGTCTTAAGGCTCTTTATCTGCTTTCATGGAAATTGTCTCTGTCCTTCCCAATACTGCGACATTTATTCCATGTGGTCTTTTTCATCAGCATGAGTGAAGCGAGAGGAAGGACCCAGGGGAAAAATGTGGATGAACAACTTCAGAAAACAAAACAAAACTAGAGCACTGAACCACTTAAACATAGCAAATGTTTGGTTTCATATCCTTCAGACAGAAGTCTACTTAATGGTCGCTTTGTTTATTACTCTCTCTCTCTATCCGATTTACATTCAGCACAGCATATGAAACTATATATTACTCTTGTTCTTGAAAAGCCTGCACCTCATGGCATTACAAGTTCAAATTCCAGCCCTTCCGCTTTCTGAGCTACAGAAGTTAAGTGGTATTCTACGTTTCTTTCAGATAAGACCTAAAAATTATCTGCTGTGTTTGAACATAAAAGATCCTATAGCACTTTCTGTAAGAGCAGGGGCCTCCTCAGGTGGCCTTGGCCAATCTATGTTTTTTCTCCACTGTTGTGTTGAATGTTTTTTGATAAATATTTGCCACTGCTTGCCCCAGAGATGGCTGCATTTCATTGGTGTTGTATTTATAGGCCCCAGTACTGCATCTGGATCTGTATGGGATGGCCCTTGCATCATATGTTGTAATGAATCTGGGGATTCTTTAGATGAAAGACATTATATGAATGTAAATTAAGAACATCAGAAATGCTAAATTGGGTCAGACCAATGGTCAATTCAGCCCAGTATCCTGACTCCGACAGTGGCCAGTGTCAGAGCTGTAGGTGGAGTGTACAGAACTGGGCAGTTGGAGTGATGCACCCTTGTCTTCCCCTCCCAGCTTCTGGCAGTCAGAGGTTTGCATCCCTGGGGTTGAAAGCATGGGGTTACATTCCTGACCATCTTGGCTAATAGCCATCGATGGACCTATCCTCCATGAACTTATCTAATGCTTTTTTGAATCCAGTTATTTGTGCACTTTGTGAAAAAGTACTTCCTCTTATTTGTATTAAACCTGCTACCAACTAATTTAATTGGGTGACCCCTGTTTTTTGTATTCTGGGAAAAGGTAACTAACATTTCTGTATTCACTTTGTCCACGCCATTCATGATTTTACAGACCTCTATCACATCCCCCTTAGTCGGCTCTTAGCTTAGTATCCAACTATATTAATACTTTGAAAAGAGGGCAAAACGCCTGTTTTTACATAATAACCAAACGAGCCTTGATCTTGGGGCAGCTTCTCTCCATCAGGACAACTTTTCGCTCTGGTTGAAAAAGGGAGCCCCCCATCCAGCTCTCCTTGGCCAACAGATGGCCTGAGACCTTGATTGCTTGCCTGGTGTTTGGGGGGGGTGTGATCTGGGGGATCTTGACCCCCCAGCTCCAAGAATGAACATGCCCCCAGCTGTGGAAAAGGATGCACATGAGACCATCCTGGATCCTGCCCGCCCCGCCCTCCATCGCCCGGCTCGCAAGCAGAGCGCACTCCAGTGCAGACACTAGCCCGCGCCCGGGGGGCAATCAGCTTTGCACCCGCACCGGGGCACGGACTACAGCTCCCAGCAAGCCGCGGGAGCGGCAGCATGTGAGCGCCTAAGGGCGGGCGGCGTGCACCGGGCTTTCTCTCCGGTGCATGGCTGGGAGGCGCTCGCCGCTGTTTCCCCTGCCGAGACCCGGTGCCGAGCGGCGCGGCGGGGCGGGGCAGGGCGGCTCGCGGCTGGTGGTGCAGCGCCCGCCATGGCTCTGGTCTCGGCGCCGCTGAGAGTCTGCATCGTGGGCTCGGGGAACTGGTGAGTGCGGCTGCCCGCAGAGCAGCGCGGGAGGAGCCGCCGCCCCTCGCCTCCTCCCCGGCGGTGCCTCTTGTGGGGGCAGAGAAACCCGGGCCAACGCGTGGAGAGGGCGTCGGCCGGAGCCGCTCTGCGCTCTCTGCCAGGGGCGGGGGAGGATGGATTTTAAGGCTGGGTGTACAGCCTTCCCCCTGTGGGGATGGAGGGTTTCCCCGCCTCAGGAAACTCTGTGGCAAGGCCACCGGGCCTGATTCTCCCCTGACTTGCACGCAGCGAAGCGTTGGTACTGGACTAGAGTGGCTTTGGAGTGGTACCGTTCTGAAAGTGGGTGCAAATGTCTGCAGCAAGGTGCAGGCCAGGGGAGAATCAGATCCCTTGTCTCTTACTTGTCTGTAAGGCACTTGCTGTGCTGTAGAAATAATAAATACTAGGTAGTTCAGTGAGAGAGACACCACAAGCGTTTGTCCAAAACTCTGCCCCCTTCCAGCCCTGACAGGACTTTAGGGGATCAGAACGACCCATAGGGTTTCATTTTTGCAAAATCTGGGCAAAGTTGTTCTGCTCATCTCTAGTTTCAGTTAAACCTACTTCGTGTATTGCTTCTGGGAATCTCTCCAAATCAGGTTGTCAATTTGTGGAAAATCCGGGATGCGATGTTTGTTTTTGTAGAGTGAGTTTGTTTTAGGCTATGTGTGTTTAGGTTTAATTAGGATGCATTTTACTTCTGTTAACTTTAAAGAGGAAGAATGTGGCAGTGTTGTCCCAACCATACAGGAAGAGCAAACTTTGGCTACACTGGGCCTGATTCCCCCCACTCCATTGCTCTAGTTCTGCATCAGATGCTCCACTGAAAGTCAGTGGTGTAACAAATTAGAGAATCAGGCACACTGCTGTGTCCCCCTGTGTAAGTTAAACTTTTCTATACGGAAGTTACAATAGGATATTTTTAACCTGGCATCTGTTGTGTGCCCACTTCTGTCAGCTCTGATATCAGCTGGCAAAGACCTTAAAGATTCTGCACATTTTCAGCCGATTATGTTGCCTGAACTTGGACGAACTCAGCCCCCAAAATGATGAAATATAAATTTATTTTATATGGTGTCTTTCATACAGATTGTTTGCCAATGCATCTATCTTTCAGATGAATTACAGGACACTGGGCAATATACTCAAGTATCAGAGGGGTAGCCGTGTTAGTCTGAATCTTTAAAGAGCAACAGAGGGTCCTGTGGCACCTTTAAGACTAACAGAAGTATTGGGAGCATAAGCTTTCGTGGGTAAGAACCTCACTTCTTCAGATGCATCTGAAGAAGTGAGGTCTGAAGAAGTGAGGTTCTTACCCACGAAAGCTTATGCTCCCAATACTTCTGTTAGTCTCAAAGGTGCCACAAGACCCTCTGTTGCTTTGGGCAATATACTGTATCAGTAATCTCTTAATATCAAGAAGGGGAGTTGAGGTCAGATGGACTTCAATTTCCTACATGTTGTGGAGCATAAAAGGCTTAATAAAATGTGGCTTGACTGCCAAATCTGCCACTTGCTTGTCACTTTGGACAAACGACTAATGTCCCAATTTTGTTTCCATTAAAGGTAATGGGAGTTTTGCCATTAATTTCAATAGGAGCCATACCATGCCCTTGACCTTTCTGAGCCTCTGTTTCCCACTTTGTCTTTTTCCCATTTTACTTCCCATCTGTGTAAAGAACGCAGAACCTCAGTTGAAAAGTGTGAAGTACAGAGTACTATTATTTATTAATTATATAAATGTATCTTCACAGTTTGTCACTTTAATTAATTTTAAAAACAGGATGCTGCCAGGGATGACTTATGAATAGCATCAGTTAAACATTTTTTTAAAATTATATCTAACTTTAGAGAACTCCAGAGTTTTTCCATGAATGGTAACATTCTGCTAGATAGAAAGGGACAGGACACTACAATTTGTGAAACAAAACCAGAACATTAGAGTCCCTGGTCAAAGTAACTTTAACAATCCCACTGTTAAAATGCTTCTGCTGTTCACTTTATGTAACTGCCTTTTAATATGGCTATTGTTTTGCAAAGTTCTGGAAGTTGCACAGTGCAAGGTCACCTGGAGTTTTGTTTTTGTTTTTGGAGGGAGTGATGGTTAACCAACTGAGATCATAACCTGATGCTTGCCTTGTACTAACTTGTAAAATGAACTTTGTTCTATAAAATGCTGCATAACTTTTGCTTTTGCTTATTTATTTCCTTTCAACTTGTCAGTCTCATACATGAAGCAAATAGGAATCTTAATTTAATTAGCTAACTGCGGTTACATATGGTCTATACTGAAACTAGCATGCATCAAAGTGTGAGAAGCTTCATTGAGATTATATACTAGCTACAATTGTGTGGGTGTAGCTTTAATTATTTTTTTTTGTTGTGATTACTAATTGGATCAGCTTAGTATTCAAGAATTGCCTGTGTGTATGCTGACAGATATTTGGAGGGCAAAATAATCATATCTGCTAAATTGTGAGAAGAGATTGTGCTTTCGGTGGTAGGAACTGTCATTATCTTTTGGGCCAAATTTATTGAGATAACAGTTTGCCACACATCTCTTAAAGGGAAAGTAAATTGTCTATGAAGGGAACAACAAGGAGTCTGGTGGCACCTTAAAGACTAACAGATTTATTTGGGCATAAGCTTTCGTGGGTAAAAACCTCACTTCTTCGGATGCATCCTTGTTGTTTTTGTAGATACAGACTAACACGGCTACCCCCTGATACTTGACATCTATGAAGGGGTGGAAGAAAGAAAAATGAATGAAAAAGATTTTAATCTAGGAAATATTTTGATAAGCAACTATTTTCTAGCCCCTTATTAAATCACAAGTATTTCTATAATCCAGACTATTCTTCCGTGCCCCCCTCCCAAGAATCAAGAAGTGAGAGATCTTGACTAAGGCCCTGATTCAGGAAAGCATCTCACTTCAGTGCAGCACTTAATCACATGCTTAAAATTAAGTATATGCTTAAGTGCTGCCATGAATTGGGGCCTATTACTCTGATTCTGCAAATGCTTATGAACAATGGAAATACATGTGTAAATGTTTGCTGGATCAGGGTCTGTCATAAACAGATAGTTAAGGGTTAATGCTCTAAAGTCCAGATGGGGACCTGCATGTGAACCTCTAAACTGAAACTGACTCTAAACAAAGGGAACCTGCATGTGAACCTCTAAACTGAAACTGACTCTAAACAAAGGGAAC